ATAACAAGCATCTAAAAAGTTCAATCTCAAGTACAATGTAGTGTGCAGTGAGCTGTTATACATATTTTATAAGGCAGGACTTATTTCTAAGTGCCTCCACAATTGGCTGGCCTCAGGTGAAGGCAACACCATGATATGTAAATAGTAAATAAGACATCTTCAGGGGACAAATGCAACCCATTGTATATAAGAGACAGAGCTTGCATTGTGATTCCAATTCCAATTCACATTGTTTGCTCTGAACATCTCTCAATATATACAGAAGTGAGAATTACAGAACAGAAAAGCATACTTGGGAACAGACAGAGGATTGAAAAAAGTGAGCACTAAAAAGAGGAGTTTTGATCAGCAGCTCCTATTCTCTACGTAACTTTTTCATATATGCTTGCTGTTTAGTGAATGTCTTTATCCAACTGTGATTGTCAGCTAGGCAATATTGACAAAATATTGCCTAGTTTTTTTCTTATCCCTTCTCTCTTCTTTCCTTCTTGTTCCAAGAGATTGAAAGATTTGTGGGTGCAAGCTGAAAGAAGGATGGTCAGGATAACTCACTGTACCTGCAAAGTTATTTAGCTTTCTTTCAAAAAAATGATCAGCTTTCTGTTATCGTTTTATATCAAAAACATATTATGTTCTCTTGGTGGCAGTATTGGAAAGCAGAATGATTATGTAGGATTCTCTCTGGTGTCTTATTTATCTGGTAGTGTTAAAGAAACGGTTACAGGTAATAGCAAATATGTACAGAAAAGTGTCAAATGATAGGAGAGCCTGCTGACTTTCCAGCAATGTAAACATAATGTAACATTCTCAGGCAGTGTCCTTCAAACTATTTTGAGGGATAGCTTCCTATTCATGACAGGTACCAAAATTTGGCACTAAATTGCTGCTATGTTAAAATTCCCTATTGATTTCAGATTCACAAAGAATGAGTTCAAATTGGAAAAATCCATATTTTTGGATTATAATAAATTATTTCCATTCTATGCATTCATGTACTTGCCATGAGACACAAATCACATACAATTTTAATCTAAATAACAGCATTTAGCTCAGTGGCCATTGTGCTATTATTGTGTTATTGTTAATCATTTATTCTGTGGTATTGCTCATGTTTAAGCTTGTGTTCACTTCCCAGAGTTGTGATTGTAAAATAGACAGCTACATAAATTGATAACAAAATAAAAAAACCTTATTGCCCCGGGTATGAACCCAGTAGGATAGCTCCCTGACAGATGGCCATTCAGCCTGTTTAAACACCTTCATCAAAGTCCACTTTCGTCTATTAGAATTTTTTTAACGGATATTTAACTGACCTTGATTTTTTTAGCTGAAATTTCTCATTTCTTGTCCTGTATTATGGAACAACTATGAATGATTTCCTCCTCCATCCCCTACTCAAAACTTTATTCTTTGCAACAATCTATTTTCAGTAAACAGAGCTTTTCAGTTTCACTGAACTTGTGTATTTCTCCCAGAAAGATACTCTGTAGAGCAGTTTTTCCCAATTTTATGTTTCTTCAAGATATGTAGAACTATAATCCTGATCATCTACATGCTAAGCAAAGCTGATGGCAGTTAGTATTTAACAAATGTGGAGAATAGAAATTTGTTGTAAATACAGGCTTCCATTTATTATTTTAAAAACTTATTTTAGGCTAACACAGCAAATGTTTTAGTGTCAACGAAATCATCTGCTTTACCAAAATGCTGCCAATACTAAAGAGGTAAAAGCAGGGCAATTAAATCAAAGGAAAGCAGGTGTTTCTTATATAGAAGATACTTCTTTTTATTTATATATTCCAGGTACTAAATTTTTCAGGCTAAGTAAATAAATGAATAAAGTTACAAGCTTGTTCTAACTCTAGTGTGTAAATAAGTTGTAATGTTTCTAATTCAGGGAATGATAACATTGGAATGTGTGATGACTAAAACATGATATGTTGTATATTAGAGAGATAAGTTTCATAATCCGATCCACGGTTAAAATAATTTTTCTTGGATACCAAATATTGAATGACTACAGTGCTTCAGCAAGAAATACAACATTCCCATCCTTATGCCTAAAGGGGAAAAAATAGGAATTTGCAACTTTTCTATCTTTCCCATAGCAGAAGACATTCTCGTGTAATTACATTTATTATATTCAATTAGTTTTTTTTAATAACCTTTAAAAAAAGACCTTAAAATATTCTATTGTTAGAACATTCACAATTGCTCAAATTATTCAAAAGCCTTCTTTACTCTTTTGTTGAAGAAAAAATACTAATACAAATGTTGACAAACAACACAGACAGCAACTAATTCTGTAATGTAGATTTCCATCCCAAAAGTAATAATAATAGAACAAGTCATACATTAACATTCCAAATTGGGATTGGCCTCCTATTAACAGAACAATTGCAACTAATTGTTATTAATAATTTTCTGAAAAGTCTATTATACCCAAACCAAAAAGTGTATGTTATATTAGTCTTATTTTAAAATCCAAATAAGCTAATTTCACTTTCTTCAAAGCAACCTTCCATTAGCGTATAAGAATCATACAGGTCAGCTTATTTCCAGTTTAGCATCTTTATAGAGAAACTGATGTCAGAGATGTTTCTGAGATGAATGAAAAGAAAATTCAAAATAGTACTATAAGATACAACAAAAGTTTTTTTAATACACACACACTTTTTCTTCTTCTTTTCAATTATATAAAATTCTCAGGGTCTGCCTAAAGAAGTCTCCACAGTTTTCTTGGCAAGGTTTTTCAAAAGTTGCTCCCCATTGCTTCCTTCCTCAGGATAACAGAAAGTGACTGGCCCAAGATCATCTAGCTAACTTTTTTGTCTCCCAGTTTCTAGCAACTAATTTTTTTGTTATAATACTTATAAATCAATTCAGGTCAAGAACTATAGAATTAGTGTTAGAACTGTAAGGAAAGAAAATGTGGGCTAAAATACAAAACAAATAGCAAAATTAAAATGAAATTATTAAAATAAGCACTTAATAATAGACATTGTCCTAAATATTTCAGAAGGTATCAAAAACATGGGACTTTCGCTATTCAAATTTGAATACTGGTTTTGAAATATAAGCTTATGTATACCATCTTTTTTCCAACATGTTTTGTAGGACTATCTATCTATCTACCTACCTACCTACCAGTGGTGGGTTTCAATTTTTTTTTAGAATCTTTTCTGTAGGTGTAGCCTGCTTTGTGGGAGTGGCTTGCTGGCCATGTGATGGGGTGGGAGTGGCTTGGCAGTCATGTGATTGGGTGTGCATGGCCAACTTGTAAAACGTGGTGAAAGTCACTTAACAACGCTCTTGCTTAGCAACCAAAATGTTGGCTCAGAAACTCTGGCATTTGAAGCACACAAGTCTTTAAACAATTTAAATCATTCCTGATCTTAAGTATAGGCTATCTGGAATTTCTTAGTCCCATATTTATTTTGTATATAATCGATCCATTTTTTCCAGTCTCGTTTATATCTCTCATTTGAGTGGTCTTTAAGATATGCAGATATTTTAGCCATCTCGGCTAAATTTGTGACTTTCAATGTCCATTCTTGGATTGTAGGCAAGTCTTCCTTCTTCCAGTATTGCGCCACCAACAGTCTTGCTGCCGTTATTAAATGCAAAATCAAGTTAACCTCTACCGCTATGCAGTCAGTAATTATACCTAACAAAAATAACTGAGGAGTAAACTTTATCCTTTTTAAAAGAATATTTTGTATAATCCACCATATTTTTATCCAAAATGCCTTAACCTTTTGGCAAGTCCACTATATATGGAAGTATGTAGCATCAAGAGAACCACGTCTCCAACATTTTGGTTGTAAATTTGAATACATAGAAGCCAACTTTTTAGGATCTAAATTCCATCTATAGAACATCTTGTAAAAAATTTCTCTCAGGTTTTGGGCTTGTGTAAATTTCACATTTCTTACCCAAATTCTTTCCCATGTATTCTTCAATATTTTGAGCCCACTTTATCATACAATCTTTAACTAATTCTGTTTCGGAATCTGTACTAATACATTGTATATCCTCTTTATACGCATTAAACTTTGATCTCTTATTTGTTTAAATAGATTATCCTCTACTTGGATAAAACCATTTTTTTAATCTATTTTCCACCTGGCCTGTAGCTACCCATACTGGAACCATGTTTGAATTACCTTTTCCTCTTTTAATACATTTAAGGGTTTTAGTTTAGCACACAAGTCTTAAAGCTGTCAGGTTACAAGACCCTTGTACCCCTAACCCTTTAGAAAAAAAACCAGGGGTGTTCAAACTTGTGGACTTCAACTCCCAGAATTCCTCCTCTCACTCTTCATCTTGATGATGTGTGGATGGGCAGGGGGGAGGGAGCTGGAACTGGTTCTAAATGGCATGGTAGATTTGTGGAACCTCTATATAAGAGGTTAGAACTGGCAGGACCCCACCCCATCCATCCATCCATCCATCTATCTATCTATCTATCTTCTAACTCCAAATCACTTGGCTGCATTTTCAATAGTTCTAATATTCATAAGTAAAACAATTAACTATAAGTAGTATATTTTAGGAAATACAGTATATAATTTCCCTTCAAAACCAAGCTTATGTTAGATTATGGTATCTCAAAACATCTGTGAATGGGGGCTATTATAATTGGACTGCAAAACTCCTGGCAGCCAATAGAACACTCTAATTCTTTTCTCTCTGTAAATGTAAATCTGATTTAGGCACCCCACGTTTGGTTGCCCTAGCCTAGGTGAATATGCTTAAGACAATAAAATTTCTAATATCCACTTATTGTCTCCTTTAGTGCTTCAAAGTCTACTTCCTAATTTGCTGGACAGTACAGACAGCTCCAAGAGTTGGCAAGAAAACTAGTCCAGTTGCTTGGCTTGACTTTAGCAGCAGCTAGAATCAAGCCAACTTTGAGCTTGCTTGCCGCTCAAATTGGCAACCTCACCCCAAGCTGATAGGAGCAGCAGACATTTTTGCTGACTGGAGTCAGACTATCTTTTCCAGTTTGCTGGAATAGACACAGACACTGATTGGGTCATGCTGAAAACATTCCAGTCCTATGAAGCAAGTCGGTTTGTATTTTAGGTTTGGCAGGACTAATGAATTAAACATCTTGGCCTCCAGACAATTGGCTACTTTAATATGGTTCCTGAAAGGGGGGGTGCTGAGGAAGCATGACAATGCTGTAATCTTTCATTGCAGGGAAGGGAAGGGACGGTGGAATTGAGACGGAAAACAGAAAAGGGTGGTCCTGAGGGTGTAAAAAGCCTATGGGAAGTGCAGGTAGCAGCATGTTGTCCTGACAGCTGTTTCAACTTCTCAGACCTTGTCAGTTCACTGCTTATGTAGCAGGTGCAGCCTTTTCTTTTCCTGAATCTTTACTCCATAAAGGCAACAACAAGTCAAGGCAGAGGCTGGCCCTGGATTTATACAAGTGCAGACACCACTAAGTGAGGTAAGGCAACAGGTGTGAAAACCGGACTAACTGATTGAGTTGTAACCACACTTGGGTTCGGGAGCTAAAGTTTTTTAGATGTAAGCAAAGTGCATGCAGACTCACAGATAAGCAAACTAAAGAGCCATTTCCTAGATAACTGTTTCAGACATAGAATACAACAATCAAAGCTTTCTGTCTTACACAAAAGCAAAGATCAAGGTGTATGCTTGAAGCAGTTTTATTTCATTTTAGATGATACATGCACACTATATTTTCACTCTGTTCTTTCTACAGTTTCCTTTTGCTTTATTTTTCTAAGAGGAAAACCTCTTGGATATATGTATTATACATACATACATACATGCATACATACATACATACATACATACATCATACATGAGAAAAATAAATCTCTGCTGTACAGATTGCTCGGGAAAGCTTAAAAATGGATGTTTGTAAATCCTTTTATGCTTTATTAAAAGAAAAAAATGTACAATTAATTTCAAGTTTCTGACTAAAATCTTTGTATTTTTAAAAATATTTAATAGCACAATCTTTTCTAAGAAATAATGTAATTAAAGATAGAGTTCATGTGTTTTAATATGTAGTACTTTCATGCTTTTTTTTTTACTTTTTGGTAAGCCACAGAAGTAATGGAATAAATTAGAGACTGCATTTGTAGCATCTCTGAAGCTTCAATCTGGGATATGAAATCATAACAAACTTGACTTTGTTTTCACTGAATAAAACAGCAAAACATAATTTTACTTTTCTAATCTAAACATTATATATGAGATTTCTTTCTTACAGTTTGAAGTCTAGTACTGTATTTCACATAAAGACTGTTAATCCAAATTTTGTTTATATATATATTTTCTAGAGTATGACATAATTCACATATTTATTTGAATTTTATTTTATTTGCAAGGCTAGCAAAGTAGAACATTTTGTCAAACTGTTTTCAGAATCAACAGGATCTAATACTGTTTTATTAGCATCTTTGACTGATTTTAGGTAATTCCAGTACCTAACATACATGGGCAGCAAAAGTTCAGAAACCAATTAGTAGCACAAAGAGATGTAGAACACTAACTATTTCTTTCCATCTAGTATCAGCCTGAATTTTTGCAACTTAAGTGTAGTAGCCTTGTCAGTATTTTGAAAAAGAAAGGGACATCAGCAAGCTATTTTAAAAGCATTTTACCACTTGTTATTTGTTAGGCACAAAATAGTTTAGCTTGAGGCAATACAATAATATGTAGTCTGTTATACTATGGAGTATAATAAATTATGAGATAATTAATATAGTTAAAAATGTCAAAAGTATTAATTCTCCACTGCCTACAAATTATATTAGTATATTATCCTATGACAAAGATTCCTGGATTAAGTATATAGTTTATTTATTTATTTATTATTATTATTACTAATTATTATTATTACTAATTATTATTATTATTATTATTATTATTATTATTATTATTATTATTATTTTCCTAATCAGATACAAGGTAAATTGGAAACTAGATATACATTGGTCAACAAGTTAAAAATGTCAGGCTCAATTTTTATTCAGTTTATTCAGTTTTACCAATAAACCAGTTGTAATTCTGTTTTATATTTTTGCCTGTATAGCTATAGCACTTAGGCTTATATACCACTTCACAGTGCTTTATAGCCCTCTTTAAGCAGTTTAGAAAGTTAACATATTGCCCCCAATAATCTGGGTCCTCATTTTACTGACCTTGGATGGATAGAATCCTGCTCTATGAAGAGTTATGTGTTACTATAACAATAGTTTTCTTATCTGAGCTGAAAAGGAATACAGAAAACTCTAATTATGCACTATCATTTTTGGCTACTTAGATTTTTTTTAGACTTATTCTATCAAAACAATAGAGAAAGCTACACACAATTATATTCTAACGCCAGTGAAATTGCACTGGCCTAGTTAGCATATATTTTCCAGAAGAAGAAGAAAACCTCCATACTTATGGCTATAAAAGTATACTTGATATTCAGTGATAAGAGCAATATATAGGATAATATATCTAAGATTTATTTTACACAATTATTGCAGTACCAATTATCTGTATGACACAGTTTCCAAGACAAATTTAAACTAAGATTAAGTTGTTACAATTTTAAATTGTATCTCAAAAAGTCTCTTCCCCCCCCCCCCAAGAAATATTTTGGGGTTTACTTAAAGATCTGGTCTTTTCCATATCCTTCTCCTTTCCTGGAAAACAGTACATCTTGACATCAAGGTAAAAGTGTAATTTTTCAACCCCATTCTTTTTAGATCCAGGAAACCTCACCACTTTGGAAGTGCTTCTTGTCTTATGTGGTTGGAGTGTTCCTGGAGCTCCCTGATCTGGCAACTGTGATATTTGCTCTAGTCATTTGCCATTACAATTATAGCAAAGTGCCCCATGGGGATGTCTTAAAAGAGATTGGGAAATTACAGCAGATTCAAAATGCAGCAGCAAGACTCTTCTCAGGTACGTCTTGGTGAGAGCATATTTTATCTACTCTGCCTAAGCTGCATTGACTCCCAACTGATTTCCAGATCAAATTCAGTGTGCTTTGTATAAATCCTTAAACAGCTGGGAGTCTGCCTAGCCTATAGAACAGGTTCCTCCATAATGGTGGACTGGGAGCTATGGTCTTCAGCCAAAGGTGCTGCTTCAGAAGGCTCTAAGATTTGGAGACAATCATTACAAGATCAGTCTTCCTTTAGGCTTACTTTGGAAGCACTGGAGAATATAGTTTTGTAAAATAAATAAGTAGATGTTAGAGACCAGACTGGATTTCAAAGCATCAGAGAGGGTGTAAAGGCTGCAATATAAATTCATTCTGTGGCATCCATTTGTCTGACTGGACTGAATTTTGTTTAGGAATTAAAACTGGAAGAGTGTACTGCCATCATTTTACAAGATGATTACCACTTTCAAAATAAAATTACAATAGGATGAATGGGTAAATGATATAGTTGCATTTTCCTACCTCTATTGTGTCCAGCTGTATTTTGTTTTGTGCTTTGCAGCAAACAATCTGTTAAATTGAGAGAGGGCAGGCAAAAAATGCTATATAACTTTCTCTTCATCAACTGTGACCAAGTTAAATAACTTTCTTTTAAAAACAGTTCGGGAAAACAGATTGTGGAGAAGGAATATTTGGGTATCTGCCCATCCGTTTGAAGGACATGCCTGTGGAGGGAGAACAAGGAGATACTTAGATTGGACTTTTTTTTTAGAACTAACAAGAACTATGGTTATCTATAAGGATCAACATATGATTTATCATATGACACTGTAGCCATGAATGAGTATCAGTTGAATGTGCAGGAAAGGCTTTAGGCTATTTCCAGATAGTCAGTTTCTTGTGATGCCAGTCAAAAAGTCATTTACCAGGTGTGTTCTCTCTCTCCCCCACCAGAATTTCCATTGTAACTTGTTCTGGTTGTAAATCTGATCAAATTTTATGACAATTTTTACAAAGATCATTAAACAAATCACATGGTCATTACACAATTCTCCAATGGGTTGTTGTTTTTTTGCTGGAAATCAGTAAAAAAAATCATATTGTGATCACATGAGCACAGGCTGCTGCAACTTGCAATAAATGCAATAAATGCAAGTTAATTGCCAAGTGCTGCAGCTGCAATCTCAAGAACGGGATGGTGTGACAGTCATAAATGAAAATACAGATGGTAAATCCTTTCTTTCAAGGCCATTGTAACACTGAACCATTGTTAAACAATCATAAGCTGAGGACTATAAGCTTCCCTAAAATGCCATGACTCTGTCCAGCAGCAGTTAAAATTAAAAGTGTGGCTCTAGTTAGGAGTTAGGAGGGACGAGTTATTTTTTTACTATAAGTCACTGTTGGCATATGAATTATAATTAACCCTACTGACAATGTCTAAAAAGTGGTGTTAGTATATATGGTAACCTTAAATCAAAAGGATTTGGTAGCTTTTTTAAAGATTAATTTGTATTTAAAAGGATGTGTTTTTGTGAGCTATAGTTAATTTCGTGAGAGTGATTCTGTGGTTTCCTACATCTTGTATTAAAGTAACTATGATGAACCTCAATGAAAGTGCATAATTTACATAGGAATTAAAGGCTCTGATCACAGCTTATCCACAGATCAGCCTAACCTAGTAACCTAATTTTTGGAATGGTGTTCCAGAAAAGCTATGCTAGCTGTCTGCATAGTATATAGTAGGTTTGAAATGTCGTAAGCATTTTGTTTAGCAAGCTCCTATCATTCAGAACTAATATGAGTTAGTTGTTCTCATGCAATCTATTAGCCTGTTTATCTATTATAGTTGCATCTATTTAAATGCATGCCCATAATACTACTCCCTTTTGGGAACATTATGCAAACTACAGAAATGTATTAAGAAAAAGAAAGTCACTCCCTCAAAAGACATAAGGTAAGAAAAAGCTACATCAAAACCATCCACGTAGCCCATCTCCATTCTGCCCTTGATTCTACCACATTCTATGATGAAAGTCAGTTTAACAGCTGCTAGGTTGCATTCATTGACTCAGATTACACTTTGTGCTAAATTATAGTGGTTTGTTTTAATCCTTGCTTCCATAGTAGAGTTAAAAATTAAAACAACTCAACTGCATCAGCACAATGATTCATACAGATAATCTTTTTTAAAGTAAATACATATTCATCAACAGAACACCCAAAATTTAAAAAGCATAATACACAGAATTTGTTGAGATCTGCACTTCAATTTAATTCAAACGCTAGCATTAGAATTATATCTGCTGGTGTCACTTGATACAGCAGTCTAATTAACAGTTGCTGGAGACAACTGCTTTATTCTGTCTAATGATGAGCTAATCTAGAAAAAAAGTCTGATCCATCTGCCTTTAATTTTGTAAAAAAAATTAAAAATGCCAGAGGTTATTGAGGAAGGGACTGACTTGTATAAGTCAATCAAATTTGCTCGTGATTATCACACACAGCACAAGTCTACAATTTGTTTTGCATTTCTGTAGTGTGTCAAATATTTAAATAGACTCTCTTATCAAAGTAAACTTTTTCTGCATTTTAAACTCTTTCTATTTTGCATTTGAATATACAAGGTATTGTGGGCCATAATTTCATTAGGGGAAAGGGAAATCATATGCTGAGAGAGCATCAGAAGTTGTTGAAAAATCTGGATAGAAATCTCTAGTTGAACATAATTTAAAACATGTTATAGGAACATATCTGATATGTACCATCAATGAATTTGCATGACCTATAAAAATTTGCTATTTTATTCTTTAGGTGAAACATACAACTAGACACATAGGTTCTAGTGCCCACATGATCACCACAGCAAGGGTACCTGCTGATAAACGGATACGAATTGCCTTCAGTCTAAATGATTCACCAGGTAATAATCTACAAAAGTATTCTTTTTCTTCCAATTATATTGTCTTTACTTTCAAAGAGTATTTGATTTTTCTTAGGTGGCTGAAATTATATTTAAGATATTTCCTGTAACATTATTTTAAACATTATATTCAACTCTAAAATTTCTGAAATGTTTAAATGTATACTTTTAACCACTATTTTTTTAAAGATGGGATCAATCTCAGTACTTAAAATATATCATTTTCATCCAATTTCAAAAATCCATCTATTGAAAGGTCCAATACCTGCCTTTTGTGCAACTTTGATTGCACAATCCTGTAAGGAAGGCCAAGCTGATAAACACCTCAGGCCCAGAACCATCTAGAGAGTCCCATGTTTGAAAATGGAATTTGCAAGTAGCCTAAATCCAACTTTCAGGCAACACCTTTCTGGGCATTTAATATATCCAGATATGATTTTAAAAAGACTGTTAAGAATAAGTAAACCATGTGAACTGTACCAAAGAAAAAGCTTGTAAAAAGTATTTTAGGAAAAAGTTATAAATAAAAAAGCAAAGCATTCAGAATCTTATGTATGTTTAGAAGTAAGCTGGGAGTACCTAACTTGAACTGCTACTATTTGAACTACCCCTATGGAGCTGTAAAAAATAGCCACAGAACTCTTAACTCTATGTTGCCCCCTGGTCATTTAGTTTAGGCAGTCCAGGTGCCCTAAATAGTTGGTAAGATTTGACTCTCTAGTAAAAGTTTAAGATTGTAGTATTAATGTAAATGGTTGGCAATAAATTTAGTATTGTTTTCTTCCATCAGCCTTCCTATCTTCAACCATTCCATGAAGTAGAAACTTGGCACTGCGAAATTTGCCTGTTATAGAAAAGTAGTCACATGTTGGACTTCCTTTCTGACTAAAAGAGCAACTTGTGCCATGGAATTAACACCCATTCATCTATTTTCATTGCCCTTGGATTCAGTTGGCACCATGATTAAATTCCACAGGGATAATATCTGTTCGAACTTGTTGAACTGTGGTTCCTTTCTAACTGAACATTATATATATTTTATCATTTTCAGAAAGACAATTATTAACATATCACTACACTTTAAATGCATCAGTTATGATTCCTGCTCAGATATAATTACTATTTAGTTCATAAAACTTTTTGTATTAGTTCCTCTGCTATATATGTAATGAATCTTAAATCATAACAATATTCCATGCCTAATGAAGCAGGCACTAGATTTATGTAATTATCTTCTGTCAAGGAAAAAAAAACTTCTTAGGCATGCATGTGCTCATTTAAACATCAATGTAGGTGTTGAAGAAAAGGCCTTTTGATATGAAAATGAATATGGTTAGAGTTAGGGTTAAATACACTGAGCTTGTCAGCTGAAAAGCTGACAGCTCAGGTTCCTGAGTGATGGGGGTAGGATTCAGCCAGTTTGGACCAGTTCGGGCAAACTGGTAGTTATGGCCAGCAGCTGGGCTAAACCACTCACTCCAGTGCTATCCCGTTTTATACAATTGCTGTGTTTTTGACGCAGAATGCATGGGTGCAAGGTCTGTGAGTGACCAAAGCAAGCGCTCATGCTTGTGCTCACATTTTCAATTGTGAGCAAACTGGTTGTTAAAATATGTGAAGCCCACCTCTGGGTGGGTTCCCATTTCTTGCCCCATCTCTTTCCCATGTAGCAGTTTGATAGTATGCAAATGCAAGCTGATAAATAGATACCACTTTGGTAAGAAGCAACAGCATTCCATGAAGCTTGGCATATAATCATGCTGGTCACATGATCATGGAAATATCTTTGGAGAACACTGGCTCACTCAGCTAAGAAATGGAGATAAGCACCATCCTCTAGATTCAGACATGACTGGACAGGAGAAACCTTTATCTTTTGAATAGGACTTCAAATATTCATTCATCATTCAGCAAAGATAACTTATTTTTCTTATATTTCTCATACATAAAAGTGTCTATATATTCATGCAAATATGTATGGATTTATCATATTCCTGCTCTTATCAATCGGTTGAGCCAGGAACAGCTCCCCAATAGAAAAAAAAAGCTATATTAGGCAGCAGTTGCTGACAGATGCAGGAAGATACTGGGGAGAATATTTCTGGGCCAAGAAGCTTGCTTTTCATGCTTCTTGATCTAGGGTGACCATTACCTGTGCTGAAAACAAATTCAAATGCCATATAGATTGTCCTCAATTTGCAATCGCAATTGGGACCGGAATTTCCATCACTAAATGATAAGATCATTAAATGAGTCATGCTCAATTTTACTACTTTTTTGTTGCTGTCATTAAGTGAAACTGGTTTTCCCCATTGACTTTGCTTATTGGAAGGCAGCTGGGAAGGTTGCAGCTGTCATAATAAATACAAGCCAATTGCCAAGCACTCAAATTTTGGTCATATGACCATGGGATTTCTGTGATGATTGTAAGTAAAAGAACTATAAGTCACTTTTTTTCAGCCCCACTGTAACTTTGAATGGATAGTTGTAAGTCAAGGACTAAATGTAAGAACATCAAGGTCAAATTTGGGACAGAAATCGAACTTTGTGTAAGCAAGCCATACTCAAACATAAAACAGGAGCTCTATCAGTACTTATTCCAAATACTACTGTTTCTTTTCTTTTTAACAAGCCAGTTTTAGGGTTGTCTAGAAAACCGAGAGCTTTACAAGTACAAGTTAGGTTGCAGCAGGGGTGGGTTCCAGCTTCTGTTACTGCTGGTTTGCTCAGGGACGCGCTTTGTGCACGTGCGCACTTGATGCATGCTAGGTGCGCATGCACAGTAGTAAAAAATGGCTTCTGCGCATATGCAGAAGCAAAAAACAAGATGGCAGTGCCTATGGCATTGCAATAGAACCGGTTCAGGGAGAATTACTACCTACTCAGCAGAACCGATCCGAACTGGTAGGAACCCACCTCTAGGTTGCAGATATAAAATTAGAGACTTGCCCAACTATACTCCTGGCTTTGCTCATTATTTCCCTTGTGCAAGCAAAGTCAAAATTGTCATTACTTGCTGTAGGCTTTCCTTGGGTAATCTGGCTATCAACTTGTGTAGGTAAAGCAGGGATAAATTTTAGCAGAGGCTCTGCTCACATGTGCAATTTGCCCAGAACCCAACAACCTTCTCAAATTATTATTTTGTAGGGATTTGTGGTCCACTGTTTGAAAATCCCTAGCTTAGCATGTGAGGTGAAGTAAGCATTATATCTGGGTGTCATAATGCAATTTCCTAGGTGTCAGTTTTCCACATTAGTGATTAATTCTATAATACTTAGGTTGGAAAAACTAAACAGCAAAACTGTTTTTTTTTTAAAACCAGCTAATTGGCCTTATAGCTTTTGAAAGTGGCAAAACAAGGCCCATTATAAGAAATATACGATAGTATACAATATACCATCAGTACACTAAAATTGTTTTTCATACTATTGAGGTATATGTTTATGAAGTTTACAAGTAAGCAGTATATATCTGTTTAAAAGAAAGGGTTGCTACACAAATGTTTGTATGAAATGGGTAAAGAAGTATAAACTGATAGGATGGAGGACTGGTTTGAGATTTGAATGGAAGGCCTTTGTATTTATAAAAGATATAAATTACAGAAGCTTTTTCTGAGTAGCACATCTTGTGGCATGTTCCTCATATTGCCAAAACAACCTTTAGTCCTATGTAGTTTTGATCCTGTGTCTTTGTTGAAGCATTTGACAATTACCAGTCAAATATTATTACAGCAGCTGTCCCATTAAGGAGATTGAGTCATGTTTCTTAATTCCTTTTGGCTTTTCTATGATTCATCTTTCTTCTTTTAGAACAATAGTCTTTCTTTTGAAAAAGAAATTGTAGGAGGCCACTGGCATGTAAAGCAAAATATGTGCATTCAAGTATGAAAGTTAATTGTTAAGCCTAAACATTTTTGAATACTTTTGTTGAGATACAGACAGATATAACATTAATTTTGCATAAGCCATTTTTGCTGTGGCTGTTTTTAGTACTTGATACAGGGACACTGAAAATAAAATTGAGTGTTTCCTCAACTACCATCATTTAAGTGCAAATGTTTTACATCTGCTTTATTAGCCACAAGTTTTCATCTGTGGCTGATAGGAATCAGTGGGTTTAATTTTCATAAGATTATAACAGAGAGGAAAAAAGTAAACTTTTGTCTTCATTCACCATTAAATGCTCTATTTAAATGTTTGATATTATACATATAACCATATAACATGTATACATATAACCATTGTGCCGCAGTAACGCAATGGTTAGAGTGCAGTACTGCAGGCTGCTACCTGCCAGCTGCCTGCAATTTGACAGTTCAAATCTCTCCAGGCTCAAGGTTGACTCAGCCTTCCATCCTTCTGAGGTCAGTAAAATGAGGACCCAAAGTCTAAGTGCTATTCCTATTGTATATTAATTTATGTGTTTGATTTATATTCTGCCCTTCTTGAAATATAATACACAGCTCTCTTTTCAACTAACATAAAATCAGCAAGTGGGAGGAATGGGGAATTTGAACCTGAAGCTTTTTGTCCTCGAGCTATACCTTAGCCAATGGCATTATAACTATTATTTCCATTTAAGTAGAATTAACATATTGGAACTGCAAAAAAAAAGGGAGAACCATTAGTTAAAATGCAGACAGTGTTTCATATATTTTTTTTGTGCTGTTTAGTTGTTGCTATATTTTAGTCAATGGGCAAGCAGGCAGGAGGTCACAAATGGTGACCATGTGACATACTTGCTTAATGTTCAACAGTGATTCATTCAGCCAGAAGTCCCAAAATTTCTACCACTAAGCTGCATGGTCATGTGATATTGTGCTTTTTTGACCACATAATTTAATGACAGAAATCCCAGGTCCTATTGCTGTCATTAATCAAGGACTACACCTATAGCCAAAATCAACAGAGAGTATTTAGTCCAAACATCCATAAGTGTCCCTAGCTTAACAAAATAGGAATGTGCTAAAATAATCCAATTTTTTTCAGTTACTTCATTTATTCTACATTATATAGA